AGTTGATCTCACAGATGCATTCTGCCAGATCTTTGAAGTAGGTTGTTTTGATGCTGTTGAACTGGGCAGGGCATAGAATGAAGGAGAGCTTCCAGATTCTTTGTCTAGAACCAGCATAACACTGAATATTGACAATGCTTGCAGACAAAAACAAAAATATTGGCCATCTTGGCTTTGAATAATAATGCAAAAATCCTAAATATTTGCAAATAGAGTCCAACAGCATATTGGAAAAACCAAACATTTACCCAGATAAAGTTCATTCCAACAATACAAAATTGGTTCAAAATAAGGGACTCTGTTAACATAATTGGCCATATGAGTGTTGAAGGAGAAAACCTATATGATCATGTGCAAAAATCTGAAAAGGCATTAGATAAAAATCAGTAATTATTCGTAATTGACAGCAAAATGAGAGTAATGTAATGAAAATACTTCTCAAATCAAAAGCTAGTATTTTCACTGCATAATTGGGGAGACAAAAGCATTCCTGTAAAATTCATCACTGTTACTGAAAATGGTTCTAGAAGTACTAGTTGGCAGAAGTAGATGAGTTTCAAATACTGATGGAATGTGTGAATAACAAAGCTGGCATCCCAGATCTGTGAGATTCTTAGGTGGATTATTAAATAGAACATCTCGTTAGCGATTTGGAAACATTAGAAAGTTTGACTCCAACCTCATTCCTTGACAGAAATTTCATGTGAACTAAACAATTTCACATAAAAATGACTTAGCTCTAGTATTAGAAGAAAACATGGAGTACATATGCTCTCTCTGAACATAGAGGTACATACTTTTAAATTCACTTAGAGTGGGGAGGGCCTTTCTAAGCAACATAAAAAACTAAAAGAAAAATTTGACTATAAAATTTCTGCATCAAAAAGTAAAAGCAAACATCAATTCAGGACAAAATGCTTGTAAAGCATGATGCACAAAGGGGTTATTTCTTCTCCATACTTCTGTATAGGTGTGTTTGTTGCAGCAGTTTTAATACCAAAGACTAGAAACAACCTAAACTTGCACCAGTAAGGTACTGGTTTAAAAATATGGAAAATACAACGGAGAGCTGTACGATCTTAAAAGGATGATTTAAGTTAGATGTGTATGTATTTATATGGAAAACACTTCCAGATACATTGAGATGTGATAGCAGTTGGTGCAGAACAGGGTATATGTACTATGCTCTCTTTTGAGTGTTTTCGAAAGAATGTACTCGTGTATGTCTAACATTTTTCTAGTATTGTAAACAAATAATTACACAGTGAATGGTCTTTGGAGAGGGAGTTTGAGTTGGGAGGAAAACTTTTCATCTTTTACCCTCTGGTAGTCTTTAAATTTTGTACTGAATGGTTCAGTTTTTAAAATTGTTACTTAAATTTTTTTCCCTTTGGTTTTAGTGGTAACGTCTCTACTCGTTAATTTGGGAAGCCCCGTAAAAGAAGTACGTAGGGCTGCCGTTCACTGTCTGCATGCCCTCAGTGGCGTGGCGTCCCAGTTTCATCTGATAATAGATCATTTGGTTCCTAAAGCAGAGGAAATCACCTCAGATGCCACCTACGTTGTTCAGGTAAACTCATTAGCAAGGAAGATTTGAGCGTGTACGTGTATACACGTGAACAGTTTTCTCTTTTCTTGACGTTTTGCTTTGCAGGGATTTTTGATCTTAAGTCATTGAATTTAGAAACTGATATGTCAATATCTGCAAATCTTTCTCCCCTCATTTTAAAAAGATAGCAATACCATATTTCCATTCTGCTATCCTTTCATTGGCTAAAAGAGCAGTTTTTGGCTTTTGATAGTAAGCTAACTGAGAGATATTAATAATCTTTCCTATTAAGGTTTCAAGGGGAAATGAAAAATTATAAGCAATGTCACATCGTTTGGGAAAGAATCATCCATAATTAGTACATGTAACGTTTGTGGTTCCTTAATCCTTTTTTATCCAATTTTCTTTTTGGTGTCTTAGGATTTGGCTACTTTATTTGAGGAACTACAGAGAGAAAAGAAACTGAAATCTCATCAGAAGTTGTCTGAAACTTTGAAAAACCTACTTTATTGTGTATATAGTTGCCCATCTTATATTGCAAAAGATTTGATGAAAGTACTTCAGGAAGTCAACAGTGAGGTATATGCAATTTGAGTGGATTGTACATTTCATGTGATGTTACTAAAGATTGTTGTAAGGAAGACATTTGCAGGAGTTACATATATGTACTCAGAAGTGAAAATTTTCTTATTAATTTGGGAGGTGGAAGAGTTGGGGTGGAGAAAAAGATACAGGGTACAAAAAGCAAATATTGGTGAGTTTCTTTCCATTTGAAAATTGTGTGTTATCCCTGTCTAATCATTGACTTGGTTTTAAGTGAATTTAAAAGTCACGTGGGGAAAAACACTGAAGTGCACAGCTGAAAGAACTGTTGTTTTGTGTCTATTCTTTAGGTAAAAATTCTCCACAAGGTAATATATTTGGACATAAGAGTCTATAAACATTCCAAATCATTTGCTCATTTTTAATTTTTATTTTTTTTAATATTTTTATTTTATTTATTTTTTTGTGAGGGGGACTAGCCCTGAGCTAACATCTGATGCCAATCCTCCCCTTTTTTCTTGAGGAAGATTGGCCCTGAGCTAACATCCATGCCCATCTTCCTCTACTTTATATGGGCCGCTGCCACAGCATGGCTTAACAAGCAGTGCGTCGGTGCACGCCCAGGATCTGAACCAGCGAACCCCGGGCCACCGAAGCGTATCGTGCGCACTTAACCACTTGTACCACCGGGCCGGCCCCTATTTGCTCATTTTTAAAATGTATGTGGTTGTACATTTTTCTGGGGAAAATCCATAGCTTTCATTAGGTTATCAAGGAAGCTTATGATACAAAAGAAAGAGGTTATGAAACCCTTGTTTATATGATGGTATGTGCTGATGAGCAGAGAAAAAGTTCCTCATCTTAGCCTTCCACAAATGCCTGTGTCCGTCACCAGTCTTGGACTGACTGCAACTTGAACTAAAAGAGGGGTAAAGTGGAGTAAAAACCATTTGATTTTATTTTCCTGGTGCAAGCAAGCAGATGGCCTTTATCAACTCTGCGTTGTACCTGGTATAGTTTAAACTAGGAGTTGATGGTCTTGTTTCATAAAGGACCAAATAGTAAATATGTTAGCCTCTGTGGGCCATACAGTCTCTGTTGCCACTGCTCAACTCTGCTGTCATTGTGAAAGCAACCGTAGACAGTATGTAAACGAACGAGCATGGCTGTTTCAGTAAACAAAGTTTACAAAAACAGATGGTCCTCTGGATTTGGCCCGCAAGCCATAATTTGCCAGCTCCTGGTTTGTTATTAAAGACTTCACATACATAATTTGAATTAATGTTAATTATACCAAGATGGAAACATTGTTTGGGGAAGTGTGCAGTATTTTAGAAAAGCTAAAATTTGTTTTTGTAGTCTAAAACTTTAGTTTACTTTGTATTTCCTGTTTTCAGAAAGTCTTGGGACACTCAGATTATTTCTCTTCTCATCTCTGAAGTGTTTACAGCTTTTGACCATTACAGACTGTGCTATCAGAGGGGACCTGAGTGCCTTAGTTGGATTAATAGCCATCCCTGTGTCGAAGAGGTCATCATTAACTCTCTAGGCTAAGCTCCCAGTCTTCCAACATGATATCTTTGGATGTCTTTGTAAGGCAAGCAAAAACATTATCAGTATAGATGACTATTTACTAATAAATGTTCCAAATTTTAGATGGTGCTTTCTCAGCTATTGCCTATGGTTGAACAACTGTTAGAAAAGATTCAGAAGGAGCCCACAGCTGTCCTGAAAGATGAGGCCATTCTTTTGCATCTCACTCTGGGAAAATACAATGAATATTCAGCTTCCCTTCTACATAAGGACCCAAAGAGTCTAGATATATTTATAAAAGCTGTGCACACAACAAAGGAACTTTACACAGGAATGCCAACCATTCAGATTACAGCCCTCGAAAAGGTCAGTGACTTCTTTCAGAAACTAAAGCATATTCAAGCTTTCAGAGATTGGAAATGTTTTACTTGGAGAAGATAAGTGCACTGGACATGTTTTAAAGGAATATGATCTATTTGACCCTTTTACAAAACTACATGATGTACATGGACCATTAAAAAGAGTTGCATTTTAACTGACAAAATTGGGAACAATTTTGCGTTGTAAGAGAGAATAATATAAAGATCATTTTTGGAATTCAAGTTTGTTCATTGAGCTCAATTGCCTTTTTTCTACCTCTAGATTACAAAGCCATTTTTTGCATCTATATCAGATGAAAAAGTTCAGCAGAAGCTTCTGCGTATGTTGTTTGATTTATTGGTGAACTGCAAAAATTCACATTGTGCTCAGACTGTTAGCAGTGTTTTTAAAGGGGTAAGTTGCAAACTTTCTGTAATTTGTGTATTAATGTTTGTTTTCTTCCAAGTAACACCATGTTTAAGCATCCTCCACTTTATAGTGCTTTTAGAAAGTGAGATGTTACCATTAACAAGAATCATGGAAAAGTAGGTCAGAGAGAAGTACAAAATCATAATTGTAAGTCTTCACCATTATTTTTATTGTATGAAATATTATAGTTTTAAATAGGTAGGGTGCATGTGTTAGTTTGGATCTTACTTGTATTGGGTGGGATCTCCCTGTTTTATGCAAGGAATAGGAATGAGTGGTGGCTTGATGTTCAACTGGGTAACAGATTACTCTTCTTAATTTAAATAGTTGTTTAATGACACACATAATCGAATTGAGAATCTGCTCATTGCTTTATATGTATATTGAAACCTAGGTGTACATCAAAATAACCACCTGGTTATTCCTTTTTTTGTGTGTGTGTGAGGAAGACCAGTCCTGAGCTAACATCCAATGCCAATCCTCCTTTTTTTGCTGAGGAAGATTTGCCCTGGGCTAGCATCCGAGCCCATCTTCCTTCACTTTATATGAGACACCACCACTGCATGACTTGACAAGCAGTGCGTCAGTGCACACCCGGGATCTGAACCTGTGAACCCTGGGCTGCCGCAGCGGAGTGTGCACACTTAATCACTGTGCTACCGGGCCGGCCTCCTACCTGGTTATTCTGTGTTTTGTTTTGTTGTGTTTTTTTAGGAAAACACATTCACAAAATAAATAATAGTATGGTGAAGTCCTAGTATCCAGATTTAGCAGTTCTTAGAATTTTACCATATTTATTTAGATTTCTAAGATACGTTAAGTGGAACAAATTAAGGTACAGAGCAATGTATATAATATGCTCCTGTTTGTATTCTTTTTTCTTTTTTTTTAATCTTTATACAGCTGTTGGTATATGGAAAATTTCCAAGAGAATACATAAGAAATTGTCAGTGGTGTTTGCCTTGGGGATTGGGCTGGGCCCTAGAAGTCGTTGGGAGACATAAAAGTGAACATAAACGTTTTCATTGTATCTCTTAATCAGTTTTTACTGCTGTAATTTTATCCCATGGAATTGTATCATCAACCGTTTTTCCTTCATATTTCAGATTTCTGTTAATGCTGAACAAGTCAGAATAGAACTGGAGCCACCAGATAAAACTAAGTCCTTAGGCACAATTCAGCAAACAAGAAGGCAAAAAATGCAGCAGAAGTAAGAGCTGTGAATGCAATGAGAGCATGCTGTTGCTCCCTAGGCCTGGAATGTTATGAAACAGTTGTGATTTTTTGATACCCATCAATTTGGCATAATCAGGTATGATAATTCTTACTTAGCATTGTGTTTGCTTTTCCAAATTTTTGTCTTATTTGTTTTCTAGAAAATCACAAGATCTGGAATCTGTTCAGGAAGTTGGAGATTCTTACTGGCAAAGAGTAACCCTCATCCTAGAATTACTGCAGCACAAAAAGAAACTTAAAAGTCCTCAGATATTGATACCGACTCTTTTTAACCTGCTATCAAGGTAATGACACTTGCCCTCAATCTATGAGAGAATAGGATTCTACTGATTGCTCATCTTACTTTATTTAACATTCTCTTTTCAAAATATTCTCTTCTTGCTTAACTAGCCTGTAAAATAAAGCAAATTACTGTAGTTCAAAGATTTAAAGAATGGTTTTGGGTACCTGTTGCCAGTACCAAAACTGACCTTCATCCTGTATTATGTAGTAAATGACCACTCACCCTACAGCCTGCTTTCCTTCTTAACTTTCAATAGTATGTCCCTGGGGCATCATTACTTGTATTTAAAGACGCAGTGTGACACCTACTATATTCTGTAGGTGAACATCATTAGATAGCTACAGTGTATGACATTGGATTGTGGATTTGTGCTTTCATCTGAAAGCAAAGGAATTCTTAAAGGTTGTCCTCTAAGAAGACTTCAAATAAGTTGATGGAAAGTGCAGGAGAGAGGAGAGGTAATTTGACATAAGCACCTGCCTATATGAGAAAAAATTAGAGTTACAAATCTTACATCTTGTTTATAGACTTTATGTTTAATGTTACTATTTTAGTTTATTCCTTATTTCACATGTATTCTGAACAATGGTCATGAATGTTATCACTGAAATTGTACAACTCTTTCATTTTCCATCATTCCTCTTCCGGGGGTCCCAAAGGTGTTTAGAACCTTTTCTACCAGAGGAGGGAAATGTGGAATACACCAAACAATTAATTCTTAGTTGTTTGCTCAACATCTGCCAAAAGCTCTCTCCAGATGGCGGCAAAATACCAAAAGGTAGGTACTTTATTGGAAGGAAAGTGTGGAAGAATTATTTACTTTGAGTGTCAGTGTACCTACCGCTGAGAGATTTTTTATTTCTCGCCACTGTAGATATTCTTGATGAGGAGAAGTTCAATGTGGAATTGATAGTTCAGTGCATCCGTGTTTCAGAGATGCCTCAGACCCATCATCATGCGCTCTTACTTTTGGGTACTGTTGCTGGAATATTTCCTGTAAGTGTTAATGATTTGAGACTTTAGCAGGTATTTCAGGTCATTACTTCCATGAAAATGCGTAGGTGCTTACTGGTTTGAATTCAATTTGGCATATTAAACACTGGACTCTAGGACTCTAGGACTCTCAGCCCTGCCTCTTTGATAGCTGAGACAGTGTGAGCTGGTTGATCTTGGTAAGCTTTGGTTTCCCTTTTTGTAAAATGGAGAATAATAGTAACCTTCTTCATAGGATTATTGTGAGGATGGGATTGGATAATTTACAGTTAGCATTTAGCACAGTGCCTGGCACAATGTAACTATCTAATAAGTGGTGGTATTAGTGTTTTTGGAAAAAATTACTATCCTGTGAATCCTCAGATAATCCTCAAACAGCTTTCAACCAGTGACTTAAGAAAATTAATTTGATTATGAACTACCTCAAAGAAATCTGTGCAAATCCTTTGTCCCTTATAGAAATACATCATTTAAAGATTTTTGAAGAGATTGAAACTATTTTTATATTGGGGATATAAGCCAGAGGTTCTTAACCTGGGGTTCTCCATGAACTTTAGGGGGTCTTTTAATCTACTAAAAAATCATGTGTGAGATTTTATATGTATAGGATTTTTTTTTCTTGGAATAGTCACTTGCTCTCAAACTGGTTGATAATAAAGAAACAATCATTGATATTTTTCCTTTGTTTTTATTGAACTATAGTTCATGTGCCATGAAATTAGCCCATTTAAGGTGTGGATTCAGTGGTTTTAGTATATTGACAAAGTTATATAACCATCACCGTTATCTATTTCCAGAACATTTTCATCACCCCAAAAAACACCCCATACCTGTTAGCAGTCACTTCCAATTCTCTCTACCACCACTAGCCCTGCCCCTGGCAACCACTAATCTACTTTCTGTCTTGATGGAATTACCTGTTCTGGATATTTCTTAATAAATGGGATCATATAATATGTGGCCTTTTCTGTGTCTGACTTTTTTCAGTTGGCATGTTTTCAAGGTTCATCTGTGTTGAAGCTTGACTCAGTATTTCTTTTTATGGCTGAATAATATTCCACTGTATATTTATACCACATTTTGTGTATCTCTTCATCAGTTGATGGGCATTTAAGGTGTTTCTTCTTTTTGGCTATTATGATAAAATTGTGCTGCTGTGGACATTTGTGTGTCAGTTTTTGTGTAAACGTGTTTTCCGTTCTCTTTGGAATATACCTAGGAGTGGAATTGCTGGGTTATATGCTAATTTTAACTTTCTGAGAAACTGTCAGAGTACTTTCCAGAGCAGCTGCACCATGTTGCACCCACTGGCAGCAGTGTGAAGGTTCTAATTTCTTCACATCCTCCCTGATACTTGTTACTATCTTTTTTATTATAGTCATCCTAGTGGGTGTGAAGTGGTGTCTTGTGGTTTGGATTTTGTGGTTCCCAGTGACTAATGATGTTGAGCATCTTTTCATGTGCTTATTGACCATTTGTTTATCTTTGGAGAAATCTTGCAAGTCCTTTGCCCATTTTTAAATTGAGTTATTTCTCTTATTATTGTTGAGTTATAATGAATCTTTGATATTTGATGTGTTTAAAATATAAAATGTTGAAAGATGTGTTTTTTTTTCAGGATAAAGTTCTACACAATATTATGTCTATTTTTACATTTATGGGAGCCAACGTCATGCGTTTAGATGATACTTACAGTTTTCAAGTTATTAACAAGACAGTGAAAATGGTTATTCCAGCACTTATTCAGGTAAGCTGCCTTTATACCATCATTAGTATTATTTTTTTAAGTTTTAAAATTTTACATAGTATGGAGTTCAAGTAGTAGTAAATAAGTGACATTAAAAGCCTTTCTGAAATGCTCGACTATTCATGCCTCTTAAATTTTAGAATGGTAATGCTAAGAAGTAATCTTGGAAATAATGTCTTTCCCAAAAATATGAGTAAACATGCCTAGCTGGTTTTGCTGTGCTGCATGGGTATAACTATAAAAGTGCCTTAACATTGCTCTGACAAAGTGGATTTACATTTACTGTGTATTTCAGGACATTGTGTGAGTTCGATAATACCCTTATGCAGGTCAACAAAAATAGGAAGTTCTAGAGCTACGTTGGCAAGTTTGTTAATATGCAATTCCACAAACGTTTTTCAAGCGTTCTCTAAGCTCTAGGTACTCAAAGAGCTGAGTGCAGTGTGGTCTTTGCCGTAAGGAATGAAAACTGGAACTAAAAAGCAGCCTTGAAGATGAAAGAGCTTGGTCATCTGCTTGAGTTTTCTGTTCAGCCGTATTCAGCCCCTTCTCCTTTCAATCTTGGTGTTAGATTGGGGTTCTCTGTGTCCAACAGATTAGCCAGTACAGGACACATATATAAAAAGAAAAATAGCTATAGGCATTAACATGATATATGCCAGAGGAATAGATGAATATGCTGAAGAGTTCAGAATAGGCGAAAGTCCACATGGGCTGGGGTGACCACAGAGTTTCATAAATAGAATTTGAGGGGCCGGCCCGCTGGCGCAAGAGGTTAAGTGTGCGCGCTCTGCTTCGGCGGCCCGGGGTTTGCAGGTTCAGATCCCGGGCATGCACCGATGCATCACTTGTCAAGCCATGCTGTGGCGGCGTCCCATGTAAAGTGGAGGAAGGTGGGCACGGATGTTAGCTCAGGGCCAACCGTCCTCAGCAGTTAAACAAAAAGAGGAGGATTGGCATCAGATGTTAGCTCAGGGCTGATCTTCCTCACCAAAAAAAAAAGAAAAAAAACCAATTTGAAGTGGTGGTATGAAAGAAGGATAGGATATGCTCAGTGACATGGCAGAGCTGTCAATAGCACGTGAAAAGGCACGGTCTAGGAATGTGCACAATGTGTGTGAAGAATGTCATGTAGATCGATTTGGTGACAAGCAAACAGTTGAGACAGGTAGAAGAAGTAGAAGGCATTGGTTTAGTAGTACATTCTATTATTTATTCATTCTTCCAGTCAACAACTATGTTTGGAGGCCCAGTACCAGGGTAAAATGGTTTGAACTTGATTCTGAAAGCAACAGGGGGTTGGCCTTTCTGTGCTCTGCTTATCTAGATTATACCCATTCTTCTTGAGGCACAACACAGATCCTGCTTGATTTTTGCAGCTTCCCAGATGGTGCATATTTGGTGTCTGCCATTTAGTGCTTCCTGTTGTTATCTTTTCACATGTGTTTCTTGTTTCATAAGGATGATAAATTGCCTTCAGGATAGTGCTCACATCCTATGCTTTGTATTCCCTTCAGGGCCAAATAGTGCTGGGGACATATCTGTACTCATTGAATATTTACTGATTGGTCTTTGATTTTTAAAATTTTTTTTTTTTTAAAGTTTTTTTTTTTTTTTTTTTTTTTTTGTGAGGAAGATCAGCTCTGAGCTAACATCCGTGCCAATCCTCCTCTTTTCGCTGAGGAAGACCGACCCTGAGCTAACATCTATTGCCAATCCTCCTCCTTTTTTTCCCCAAAGCCCCAGTAGATAGTTGTATGTCATAGTTGCACATCCTTCTAGTTGCTGTATTTGGGACGCGGCCTCAGCATGGCTGGAGAAGCAGTGCGTTGGTGCACGCCCGGGATCCGAACCCGGACCGCCGGTAGCGGAGCGTGCGCACTTAACCGCTAAGCCACGGGGCCAGCCCCTATTAAAATTCTTTTGGTAACTTTTTTTGGGCACATCTGAAGGGCTTTGCATGTCCACTTAAAGCTTGTTTTGTGAGGGTTATTTGTTCCTACTCACTGTCCCTGCTTGCTCTTGTGCAGTCTGATGGTGGAGACTCTGTAGAAGTCACAAGAAATGTGGAAGAAATCGTGGTGAAAATCATTCATGTGTTTGTGGACGCGCTGCCACACGTTCCAGAGCATAGGCGCCTGCCCATCCTTGTTCAACTAGTTGATACACTGGGTGCAGAAAGATTCCTCTGGGTTCTCCTCATCTTGCTTTTTGAACAGTATGTCACTAAAACAGTGCTGGCGGCTGCCTATGGAGAAAAGGTGAGAATATGGCGGCGGTGATAAGAAAGGAAACGGTGATGTCTCACATAGATTTTGTGGTATTTTCCAGTTTAAACATGGGGCTGGTGAATGCTTAATGTGCGTTACTTAACAGTGCTTGCTCAGAACTACTTTTAAAGATGTTTTTGGCATTTTTTAAAACTGCTGTCACAGCCTGTGGCCCTCTGAATATCCTCAGTAGCAGCAAAACACCTCCTCAGGGTGATTTGACTTTTCTAGGAAATAGGTTTGATGCTGGTGCCATGCTGGGTGGTTCTCTTTTAAGCCTAACAGAGTACTGCTGTAAGGTAATTAAACTGTGTCTCTTGAAAGTGGTTTTGAGGGCATTGCATGGGGAAAGGGAGGAGTGTCAGTATCATTGGAATCAGCAAGGTGCAGGTCATTGTTTTGGAGAGCCCTGTTCAGATGGATGAGAGTAGAACTTTTAAGTCCAGGACTGTTTTTAAATGACTTCTTAGACATGGGATCTAGGAATAGATCTAGACCTACTCTAAGTAAAGTTGTATGTTCAGTTCTGCCAGAAATCATAATGCAGGTTATCCTGGAATTAGGCCCTCATAATTCTCATAAATTGGCGTTTTCATGTAAGGAGCTCAGTAACTCATTCCTCTGGTGATACATAAGACCATGAGGAACAATATATAGTGACTGTGTGCGAAGAAATATTTTTAAAACGTTTCCTTTCTTTGTACTTATTAAAACGTAAATTTAATAGGCACAGTTTTATTACCTATGTCTCTTCTCTGTACAGGATGCTATTTTAGAGGCAGACACTGAATTTTGGATTTCAGTCTGTTGTGAATTTAGTGTCCAGCATCAGATACAAAGCTTGATGAATATCTTCGGGTACTTAATAAAGCTGCCAGAAGAAAAAGAAGGTAAACCTGAATCAGGTGTTAGTTGTTGTTTAACCTGAAAGCCCAGGAGAAGCAGAAGACAGTGCGGGTCACCCTTAGAACCCATAGTATGTCTGTAGAAGATTTCCTTCAGTAAGTTAATAATTTTTAATTTGAGTGTATGGTTGTGTATCTTCTCAAATCCTTATGGGAAACAGTAAGTAGGGTTTCTGCATGCCTTTCCTCACACATTGGCTTCTATACCTCTGTGCCTTTAGCTGATGTGTTGGCTGTGGGGTATTATGAGTGTCAAGGATGAATCATGGTAAAGTGACGGTTAGCAGGCCCTGATTAGCTGTCTCTTAGCTTCCCATTAAAATATCTGTGAAGACATTTACAAGAAGAAAGAAAGTAGGTACCACAGCAGTGGTAATTAAATATTAAAATTTTACCATGTATGGCAGTCTTGAAATTTCCACTAATTGCAGCATCAGTGAGACTGGCTTGAGAAAGGGTTGATGTGTTGAACGTTCTTAGTTCTCCGCCCTTCAAAGCGGAACAGCAAAGTGCGTTAGAAAGGAGGTTCTGAGGGCTCCGCGGGGCCTGTTACCTGTGTGGTGAGCTGTTTGCCCTGTCTCCCTGCTTGGCCAGGCAGTGGTCCGTCTCATCCTGCATTCGGCTCAGGTTTGGCAGGGACAGACCAGAAGGTGCTAGAGAGCTGTATGTGGTGACGTGGGAAGAAGTCTTCATTTTTCTCGGACAGTGATTTTTAAGTGGCCCACCATGGACCCCAAACACTGCACCCCTAACCCCTTTTGTAATAGACGCATTGGAATATGGGATTCTACAAAGTTTTAGGACACACATTTTCAAACATTTAGAATTAAACATTGAAGGCTAGAGATGATCCTCCTTCAGTCAATTGTTGGCCACCAAGTAAATGCCTCTGAGGCTTCAGAAGTTGGGTATGGAGCCGACATTTAAAGACTCCTCTTGTAATGCCTTTGTATTCCATTTGCTTGTCTCAGTTGCCCTGTTTTTTTGTTTGTTTTTGTCATACACACTCTCTTCTCAGGGCTGTTGGGTGCTTTCTTGGTAAGTACAATCACATCTTTCACTAATTTAGAAGAGGAAAAACTGGATGTAATAGATTAACAAATTTCTCTCTGAGAATTGTATCCCATTTTACCGTGCTCATTGTATCTGTGTCTACACTACAGCTTGAGGTGAAGATGAGTGCAGTCATTTGTTTTGTTGCTCTTTTTCAGAAACCGTTCCCAGAGCGGTATCTAATAAGAGTGAAGCACAGGAACAGATGCCACAGATTTTTGATGTAGACGCTCACACGAGCAAGCAGCTGCGGCATTTTAAATTTTTGTCCGTGTCTTTCATGTCTCAGCTCCTGGCTTCCAGTAATTTTCTCAGAAAGGTGATGTGTTCTTTAAATGTGTTTGTGGTAAAATGATCTTGTTTTTTCTAAAGGAACTGTATTTTAAACTAGTAAAAATAGCTTGGTAAGGGGCCGGCCTGATGGCGTAGTGGTTAAGTTTGTGTGGTCTGCTTTGGTGGCCTGGGGTTTGCAGGTTCAGATCCCAGGTGCAGGCCTTTGCACCACTCATCAAGCCGTGCTGTGGTGGCATCCCATATACAAAATAGAGGAAGATGGGCATGGCTGTTAGCTCAAGACTAATCTTCCTCAGCAAAAAAAGAGGAAAATTGGCAAGGGATATTAGCTCAGGGCTGATCTTCCTCACACAAATACTCAAAAAAAATAGCTTGGTAAATATCTCGTGAAAACGTGAGACATGCCTTTAAAGATAGTAGATAGTAGAAAAAGAGTAATACAATTCACGGTGAAAAACTGTTTGGCATGATCTACTAAGGTTGTACATACATAAACCCTGTGACTCAGTAATTCCATTCTCAAATGGTATATACCCAACAGAAATGTATGAACATGTGCATCAAAAGACATCTACAAGATTATTCATAATAGCATGATTCATGGTAGCCTAGGACTGGCAACAACCCCAGTGTCTGTCAACACTGGAGTGGATGAAGTGTCTGTTGTCATAAATGGACACAGGTGAACTCAGTGATACACAGCCATCTGATGACTCTCATAAACATATTATTGAAGGAAAGAAGACAGACACAAAAGAATGAATCCTTGATTCCAGTTGTATAAAGTTCAGAAATAGGCAAAACAAATGTATGGTTTTAGAAGTAAGGATAGTGTTTATCTTTGGGAAGAAGGCAAAGACTAGTAATGGAGGTCAAGTAGAGGATGGAATCTGAGGTGCTAATATGCTATTTCTCTACCTGAATATAGTGAGCTCTCACATATGATTTATGCGTCTTTCTGTTTGTGTGATTAACTTCAAACAATGAGAGAGAAAGGAGGAAATAGAGAAACAAAATGAAGAAGCATTGAGAAAGAAGGACCGAGATCATGACCAGGAATATAAGAATGGTTAAACATCAGAATATCTATCTTATATATCTGTTATAGTGCATGAACAGATCAAGAGGAGAAACCGTATGATCATTGAAATATTTACAGGAAAAAGATTCAACGAATTCAGTACTTACTCATAATTTAAGAAAGCAAATCTGCTTGGCAATGCGAGATGGATGGGAGCTTCCTTGGCCTGATAAAAATATCTGTCAGAAACCTATAGGTTAGGGGCTGGCCCCATGGCTTAGCGGTTAAGTGTGCGCGCTCCGCTACTGGTGGCCCCAGTTCGGATCCTGGGCGCGCACTGATGCACCGCTTCTCCGGCCATGCTGAGGCCACGTCCCACATACAGCAACTAGAAGGAGGTGCAACTATGACATACAACTATCTAGTGGGGCTTTTGGGGGTGGGGGAGAAGAGGATTGGCAATGGATGTTAGCTCAGTGTCATTCTTCCTCAGCAAAAAGAGGAGGATTAGCATGGATGTTAGCTCAGGGCTGATCTTCCTCACAAAAAACAAAAAAGAAACCTATAGGTTACATCACACTTCATGATGAGACGTTAGCGGTGTGCCTCTTGAAGTCTGGAACAAGGGTGTTCTCTGTCATTATTTCCATTCAGCAAAAGCAATGAAGTGTAAGAAGCAGAAAAAAGAGAATCAGTAAGTTCACAGAAGTAATAATTAGTTTAGCAAGCTTGCTTAATAGGGATCGACGTGGACACTGCTCTGTGTCAAGCAGGCTACCTGACGACAGAGGTGCTGGAAGAGCAATCAGATGGATCAGTGTGACAGCGTGAGCCCTGACACACCCATGCACATGTAGGGAATGTGTCGTGTGGCAGGTGGCGTCACAAAGCAGTGGGGAAAGAGACTTCTCCAAGCACAATTTGTTTTCCATGTATGGAAAAAAGACTGGTCTCACACTAAGCAAAAGACAATTTTAGGTAGATTAAAAACTTCAGTGTGAAAAGGAATACTTAGAACTTTGAAGAGAAAATCAAGGGGAGCATCATCATGACCAGAGGATGGAGGAGAATTTCTTAACAACTTCAGTTCAACAAAAAGCCACCATAAACAAAATGCAGAGAAAGCCACAGACTAAGAGTAGATTATTACCGTGTATAAATCAAATACCATCAGTTTCCATTAGAACAACTGGCAAAGAATATGAGTTCACTAAAGAGGATCACAAATGGCCAGTTAATACGTGACAAAACAACCTCCCTAATAAGGAAAATGCAGACTTAGTGAAATGCCATATGATATCCATCACAATGGCAAAAATTTAAAAGCTTTAATACCAAGAAGTGGCAAGGCTGTGAGGATACAGTCATTTCTTACACAGTGACGGGTAGCGTGAGTCGGTACAACCACTTTAGAAAGCACTTGGCGGTTTCCAGTCAAGTTGAAGCTGCTCGTCTCCTGTGATCTAGCATCTCGCTTCTCAGGTATATGTGCTCTACGAAAGCTTGCCTAGATGCTCAAGGAGACAAAAATGTTCTTTTTTGCATTGTTACCAAAAGAAAAAATGAACGTAGACTAAATGTCTGCCAACAGAGGTGAATGAATAAAAAGTATAAGAGGAATACTGTTTGCAGTTAAAATGAATGAACCAGAACAACATAAGTCATCACAGGTAGATCTCAAAAATCTAATATTATCCAAAAAGCATGTTGCTGACTGATATGTACGTTCACTTTTGTGGGGTCAAGGTAGTGGGAGAATGGGATTAGGGAGCAGTGCATAGGGGAAGACAGCTGTATCGATCTTTAACATCTTAAGATTAGTTATGAGCTAACGAAGGATTAGCATTTCATAAAATTAGTAGGTAAACGGCTATTGATTGCCGTGTTTTTCTGAATCTTTGTAGTACTTTACAGATGTTACAGATATCTGTAGAATACAATTAAAATAAATGAATAGAATGTAATTAAATTAACAGAAATAGAAGTGTTACAGTATGATGGGGATGATCTGAACCTGATTAAAGTGTAATGTCAGAAAACAGTAGCTGTGGGAGGTTTGAGTTGAATAGTCTTAGATGAGCTTTATTGAGCCTACTTCAAATGATTTTGTATTACCAGCTTCCATATTGTTCTAATGATGCCTTCTTTAAAAATTAGGTAGTTGAAAGTGGTGGTCCTCAGGTTTTAAAAGGCCTTGAACAGAGGTATGTTACTTTTCTTTTTAAAATTTTTATTTCAAACTTTTAATCAAAAAGCTGGAAGAATAGTACACAAAACTCTCATCTGAGTCTGCTGTGTTTTAGGTTGCTAGAAACAGTTCTTGGCTATATTAATGCCGTAGCACAATCCTTGGAGAAGAATGTAGACAAACTAACTGTGAAGTTTTGGCGAGCGCTCCTCAGTAAAGCTTATGACATGTTAGATAAGGTAGGTTTTCCTTTCTCCCCATCTACTGTGTTTTGTTGCTGTTTTTATGTCATTGTGAAATTATTTAACAGAAAGTTTTACTTTAAGAATAAACTTAGCAGCTCAGATTTTTCTTGGAAAAGAATCTCTTGATGACTAGAAATAAATTTGTCTGAAAAACAGTTGTTTCTGTACCAATTACGAGAACATGTGCCTCAATATTTAATGATGCTTAAATGTTCAGTCATGTAATACTGTGTAATGTTTATTCACGTGGAATAAAAGAAAAATACCTGTTAGGTAGAGTGTGTGGTATATTAGAAATATCACTGGCCTGGACATTAGGATCACTGTTTAAAATCTAGCTAAATTACTTAACTATATGGCATTGAGCAATTCACTTAGCATCAGGTTGTTGTTGTTGTTGTTGTTGTTATTGTTTGTTTTTTAAATAAATGTAGTTAGTAATGCCTACCTGAAAGGTTAGTGTAAGAATTAAATAAGACAATGTGTATTAAAATGCCTGACACCTAGAAGAAGATAAGCAGTCTGTCTTAATCTGAGTTGATCTTCCCTTTATTATTATTATTTTTGTTGTCGTTGTTAAATGTAAAACTGCCGTATAGGTCAATGCCTTGCTGCCCACAGAAACATTCATTCCTGTGATTAGAGGGCTGCTGGGTAACCCATTGCCATCAGTTCGCCGGAAAGCGTTGGATCTTTTGAACAACAAGCTACAGCGAAATACGTCCTGGAAGAAGAAAATTGTGAGTGAAGACTATATATCGGACCCATTTACCGTTCTTTGCCTTACCAAAGGTTGCATTTAACTCCCTTAGGTTTCTCCAGTGGTACAGTTTAAATAAGTGTATCATTATCTGAGTATAATGCTGTGATGTGTGTATGCATTTTAGAAATGTGATATTAATTCTAAGAGGAGTGTGTATATATGTTTTAAGAGCTCTTAGAATGGAATTTCCGCTTAAGGGAATTCTTGCTTAATATAGACCATACATTGCCTTGGCTTTAGCATAATTCTAATTCTCTTTTACTAGTAGGGTGCTTAATATAAATCAAAAACTGGTCACAGTACATGCATTCGCTTAGTGGTAAATAAAGCAGATGGAGAAACAATTGCTTGTGAATAATTCTGTGGCTTAGGACCTTGGTCTAATTTCCATTTAGGTGGTTTCAAACAATAAAAATGTAAATATGAACTAGCATTTTTTCTGCAGCTTTAATTATTTGGGAATTTTGGCCGTCCTCTGCAGGTTTACCGTTTCCTAAAACTTGTTCCAGTCCTTTTGGCCATTGCGCAGCATAGAAAAAAGGCAGTAGAAGAACAAGCAATAAACAGACAGACAGCTTTGTATACCTTAAAGCTTTTGTGCAAGAATTTTGGTAGAGAACATCCAGAGCCTTTTGTCCCAGTGCTGAACACTGCAGTGAGACTGATTGCTCCAGAGACGAAGGAAGAGAAGAATGTCTTGGGAAGTGCCCTGCTGTGCATAGCAGAGGTGGCCTCCACCCTGGAAGCACTGGCCATCCCCCAGCTTCCCAGGTATGCTGACTGGGACCTGCCACGGGTACCATCACACAGGGTTTCTGGTACAAATTGAAAAATGATATCTTAGTGACTTTTTTGCCTCTAAGTAAAAGCCGCATAAAATTAGATTTGTTAAAGAACTGATGTTTTCTTCAAACTGACAAACAGAACATTCTCATTTACTTTTATGATGTTTATTATCCCCCAGTTTTCGCTCCCCTTTGGCCAGCTGTTGCTAGGAAGCAATAGGTGATGCTCCTTTAGAGGGGCCCATCCAGTTGGGCAAAAGCTGCCTCGTGCTGCCCACATTTGGAAGTTGGATACTGCTGGCTCTCTCCTTGGCTCTAGCATCTACTGGCTGTGTAGCCTTGGGCAGGTTACTCGGCCTGTTAGAGCTTTGCCGTCTATAAAACTGAGACAGCACCTACCTCATGGGATTTCCATGGGACAATGCATGTAAGCCTTTTTGCACAGTGCCTGACACTTAGCAAGTGTTAAATTGAAAGATGTTATTTTTTTTAATGACTGTTATGTCAGTACTATTGGCACTGGGAGACTTCTTGCTCCTTAGTCACATCAAATGTGTAGACGATATTTAGTAAGCTGTGACATACACAGAGAGAGAGAACGGGCCCAGTTGTTTGGATTTTTCCATAACGACTTCTGCTCGGTTCTCCATTCCTGCTTAAAGTCACTCTAAAACCCTTGTTCTGTACATGTAGCCTGATGCCGTCATTGCTGACCACAATGAAAAACAGCAGCGAGCTGGTCTCGGGCGAGGTCTATCTGCTCAGTGCCTTGGCGGCCCTGCAGAAGGTTGTTGAGACTCTCCCACACTTCATCAGCCCCTACCTGGAAGGTGTTCTGTCACAGGTGAGCCACAGTGACCACAACATGCTATTTGAGGTGGCGGGCAAAGGGAAAGATTATAAATTTAATAATTTTATTTGTTCTTTAAGTTTTCATTTCTGTTTGGCAGGAAGATTATTTCTGAAAAGATGTGCTGGTTTTTACTGTATGTGTTCCTTTTTCTCATCCACTTCCGTCATCTCTGTCTGCTTCATCATGACAGTAATATGGGTGTCACTTTGTCATGAGGCTCTTCTCTTTCATGACAGTAATATGGGTGTCACTTTGTCATGAGGCTCTTCTCTTTTTTGATTTTGCAGAATGTATTTTATTGCTTTTTTCCCCCTGAGAGATCTTTGGAGTTGGGCTGGTCGAGCTGACTTTCATTACTTCTTGTAGAAACTGGTGTGCCCTATTTGTTTCTAATGTGAAAGGTTTCTGAATCCTAAGATGTCTTTCAAAGCAGAATTTCCTGTATTGCAGACCATTGGTTACTTGCAAACAGACAGTGGGCAGGTGGCATTTCTAGTCGAAAATGCCTGAGAATGACCCCTCGTTCTGTTCTTTTGTACTGATCGTTTGCCATTTATGAGGTTAAGAGCCTTAACTGCCACGATGCAAATGCTTTAACCAGTTCACATACTCTATACCCAAGGCTTAAAAGTAAACTTCTTACAGAAACAGACCTCTACATCTGAGGAGCTTTCTAGATTAGCAAGGAAGAACTTGACTCTTCTCATGGTCCCTGGATTCCCGTCCTCTAAGAAAATCTTCAGTCCGGTGCTCTCTGTCCTTCTGCCTTCCACCATTTACCTACATCCCTGACTCCCAGTTGGGAAGGAAGCATCTGTCCATTTTTATCTACAAACATTCAAGGGTTGGCTTTAAAAGGAATTCTGTGTGAAGCTAAAATGCAGTGAGCTTTTCCTAATCACTAGCATTTGGATTGACTTCTCACATCATCACTATGACTTTCTGTAGGTGTGTAGACGTTCTCAGTGAGCACCCGTAATGGCCTTGATCACTGTTTTTATATTCCTATAGGTGATTCATTTGGAAAAAATCACTAGTGAAATGGGCTCTGCCTCACAGGCTCATATCCATCTCACATCTCTTAAGACGACTTTGGCTACCACGCTCTCACCCCGAGTCTTACTACCAGCCATCAACAAAACGTACAAGCAAATTGAGAAGAACTGGAAGGTTAGATCTTATTGGGTATTAGACTTTGGAGAAGGGAGATATGGTACTAAGTTTTTAAATTTTCACTTGAAGAATATGGTTAATTCCTTTATATATGCATTAATGAACTCTAGAAATATTGAAAATTGGCACATCTCTTTACTGTGTTATTGGTAGAATCACATGGGTCCGTTTATGAGCATCTTGCAAGAGCACATTGGGGTCATGAAGAAGGAAGAGCTCGCCTCCCATCAGTCTCAGCTGACCGTATTTTTCTTGGAGGCCCTGGACTTCCGAGCACAGCACTCTGAGGTAAGCGTCTTTCCGCTCCCCCAAATCCTAAAGTTATCTACCTATTTAAAAGCCAGAGAGGGGCCGGCCCCGTGGCTTAGCGGTTGAGTGCGCGCGCTCCGCTGCTAGCGGCCCAGGTTCGGATCCTGGGCGCGCACCAACGCACCGCTTCTCCAACCATGCTGAGGCCACGTCCCACATACAGCAACTAGAAGGATGTGCAACTGTGACGTACAACTATCTACTGGGGCTTTGGGGGAAAAAAAGGAGGATTGGCAATAGATGTTAGCTCAGAGCCGGTCTTCCTCAGCAAAAAAAGAGGAGGATTAGCATGGATGTTAGCTCAGGGCTGATCATCCTCACACACAAAAAAAATAATAAAATAAAAAAAAATAATAATAAAATAAAAAAATAAATAAAAGCCAGAGAAAAATCTAGCTGTGTAACCTGTTGTACTTGCCAAAATTATTTAGAGCTAGATGTCAGTACTCTAATAAATCAGCTCTTCTATTTCCAGAATGAACTGGAGGAAATTGGAAAAACAGAAAATTGTATCATTGGCTGTCTAGTAGCCATGGTTGTGAAACTTTCTGAAGTCACATTCAGACCCCTGTTCTTCAAGGTACGCTTTCTTCCTCCACATCTCCTGTGTGCTTGCGTAGGATGTGTAGAAGAAACTAATAATTGGTTTATCTTTTTAGCTGTTTGATTGGGCTAAAACAGAGGATGCCCCAAAGGACAGACTGTTGACGTTTTACAACTTGGCAGATTGCATTGCTGAGAAACTGAAAGGACTTTTTACTCTATTTGCTGGCCACTTAGTGAAGCCTTTTGCTGACACCCTGAACCAGGTGAACATCTCCAAAACAGGTTGGTAGCTGACTCCAGTTCTGTTGACATCCTTGCTCTGTATCCCTTACACAAGGTACAATTAGAATAATAAGCATAAGGAG